GCATTAGCCATTTTACACTCAACGCGAACCAAAAAGAACCAAGAAGTACAAAGGACGATAGACAAATCGCACACTTGTGATTTAAAAGAACGTAGCTGTGCTGTAATGTTTAATTATGAGGAAAGCAAAATTTATCTTCATTAAGATTATTGATTAAAAATATAAAATTTGCTTTTTTAAGCCTTTTTAATAAATATGAATTTTGCAGAATCGCGCTATATTTGCTACCTCAGGGTTAAGGTCACGTACCCTTTTGCTAAAATGGTTTCATCGAGTTGGGAACAGGAAGAAATTCGCCAAAATTTGAACCAATTTTACCGAATGGGTAATTAAAACGGCCTATTTTTGGTGTTTTGTTTGATAACTACTGCAAATTCAGTTATTTATTTTTAATTCCTTAAATTTACATCTTGTTTCAATGTTATCATTAGTATCCTTTGAATTCATTGTATTAGATATTCTTAATATTTGTAGTAAAAGACCAGCTGATTAAATATCAGCATCCTTTCAGCGGTCTTTTTCCTCAATATCCGGAGACTCCTGCTCACAAATGCATAGCTCATGTTCGTGACAATGTTTACTGTGCAACGGCAATTTGGGCGTTACATCGAGCTTTTCAGTATGTTGCTTTACCAATTAGTAATCTTATCTCGTTTAAAGGCGAATAGGTGATGATTCCGGTCAAAGTTTCGAACTTCGTCAATCAGCTGTTAAATGCATGCGTGCTATTCTCTTGGGCTGGATGCGACAAGCTGATCGATTGGAGAGTTTTAAAACGACTCAAAACTTGGAAACATGTCTTCACTCTCGCCTTGGTTACGAAACCGGAGATCCAGTTGAGGAAACAAATTATCGGCATCTACAAATGGATTGTGTTGGTCTCTATGTCCTCCAACTTGTTCAAATGATCCTCTCTGGCTTACAAATAATCCACACTAAAATTGAAGCTGCTTTCGTACAGAATCTCATTTTTTATATTGAGCGAGCGTATCGAATTCCCGACTATGGGATGTGGGAAAGAGGTTCCAAACAGAATCGGGACATCACAGAGCTTCATGCGAGCTCAATCGGTATGGCTAAGGCAGCTTTAGAATCTGTGTCGGGGTTCAACATCTTTGGAAGTGATGGAGACCATACTACGGTGATGTTTGCGGATATTGACGCACATTCAAGGAATAGTAGCATTTTGAGTACTCTTCTTCCTCGTGAGTCGGCGTCTAAGGTATAGCTTCTTTATCTTTTCCTGCGGTTAAGTTTATGCAACTACTTTGCTAATAATGTTGCGCTATCGGGCCTAAGTTTATGCCAATAACCTTCAAGGTACATTCCTACTAATTGTCCCGTCGTTATGTAGTTAACAAAGGAGGACGTCTTAAAACAGCAATTATTTAATTAATGTCATGAAAAGCGTAGGTAATAGCGATCTTTTTTGCCCTCAGTTTTTTATTTAAATATTTTTCCTAGCTGTTGATTAAAACGGGAGCTTAAAAATACATGACTCATGATAGAATCTGAGCACTCAGAATAACAATGCAGACATAGGTTGGTTTTCAAGAAGATCATATATAATGAGTTTAGGGCGTAAAGCATCTTGCCCATTTAATAATTCGCCATCTTGTAGGCCCTGTCATTCTTTTTCTTAGCCCTTTAACACCCTGCAAGACTGTTCGATCCTCTTTCGAAATAAGCTCCCTTGGTAGTAGACTCGTAACAGAAGGCGCTATTGCTGTTTTTCAAACATATTCAATACGTCATCGGCGGTTGGGGGGGGGGGGGGGGGGGGGGGNGGGGGGGGGGGGGGGGGCAGTTTTCTGAAAAAAATAATTCAGTCTTTACATGGCTAGTATTCATCTGTTTAAAAGCTCAGTTTCCGTGTGATGTCATGTCCGCGATACTCGGAGCTTGTTGATTTAACAGAATGGTTTGTCATGCCAATTTATTCCCAATTTAGTTTCTTTCCTCGATTCTACTTGCAGTTGTCTATTGCTGTTTGATAGTCTAGTCTAGACTAATGGGCCTTGAAACTCGTCGACTTGCAAGAATACTTGATCAGGTGATCAAGGTGATTGTAATATTTAAAAATATTTGCCTCAACTTCTAGGGCATTCCCATGAACACTTTTGAAAGGTGTCTTTTTGCTATTCTCCCCTTTCCTACAACCGGCATATTTGGCTTGAATTAAAGATTTTTCTATTGTTATTTTAAGGAGCATTCACCTTATAGGCCTACACCTGCAGTTGCATTGGTTTTGTCTCTTCTTCAAAATTGCCTAATTTTGTGCCACGTTTGCTGGTCTTTAATCATCAGTTATCTCACTATCGCAGATAGTTAAATTCCTTATGCCAAAATGGCTAAACTCCCCCCCCCCCCCCACATCCCTTCTAATATGATCTCTGCTGCTTATTAGAGGCGATAAATTTTTTCGTCCATCCATCTCTATGATTGTAATACATCCTCTAAATGTATTGAAATAATTTGTTGCTGATCTTTGCGATAAAACGGTAATCTGTGAGATCAACGCAACTCTACCTCCTCCTTCTCTTAGGGCACAGACGCTGCTCTTATACCAACCATCTATTGGCCTGCTTTCGCAATTCACACTTCAAGTATTCGCAAGGCCACCATGGATCGTGTGGAGATCTTGAAGGGCAATTACGGCTACAAACGCTTCACACGTGATGGCTACGCTACTGTGCTCGAAACCAACACCTTCTATTCACAGGGTGAACTGGCCAAATTCCGTGGAATTGAAAATGAGTGGCCAATGTTTTTTGCCTACAAGATTATTGCCGCCTACTTCGACAAGGAGGTCGTCTTTTTTTCTCATTTTCCTCTCATTGTATTTCTCTCTCACTTATCTCTTCTTTTTTTCTTTTCAGATGGAAAAGGCCGAACAATTTGGTGAAAGTCTTGAACAATTGTTAGTTCAACCAGTTTCAGAGAAGTACCCCTGGCTGCCAAAGTATTACTTCCTTCCTGAAGGCTCGTTGGATGGGGAACGGGAGAAACCGGGTTCTCAACTTCGTAGAAGTAACTTTAAATTGCGCATGGAGCCTCGTTTCCTTTGGGGGCAGTCAGTATACCTCATCTCCCAAATGTTGTGTAAGTTATGACGAGTCGTCTACTTGAATAAGTCAGTAAGGTGTGCTTTTTCTCAAAAACCTTCGGCATTTAATCTTCAGTAAAGAATGTCCTGACCATTCATGACCTTGATCCCCTCGGGCGTCACTGTCCGGCCGATACGAGACCGATGTCCCTCCTCTCACGCTACTCAACAATCACTGTAAGTCTCACGTATTGGAAGAGTTTCGACATTTTCAGCGCTTTGCATTTGGAACGAAATTTCCATTGGTGATAAAGATTTGCGCGCTTTTCCCTTATTTAAGATTTAGTTAAGTAGAGGTATGTTTTGGGCATTTGAATAGAACTACCTTTATTTAAATGTTAAATTGCTACGCTCAAATTGACCCTGACGAGTTATGATTTCCCAATACCATTAAATTTGTTATTATTATTAATAAAATTAAACTTGGGTGGAGGTGGTGTGGGTCCGGAGGGGGAAGTTAGTGTTGTTAAGTATATATGGTTGCCCCACCGTTCACTCTGACTGCATTCACGCCCAATAACTGGTGCCTCATTTTGAAAATATCGGAAAAGCGTTCACCGGCCTTCATCTTTGCGAGAAGGCAAGCAATTAGTTGAATTAAGTCATATTTAGCCAGCACGTATCATCACTACGCCTATTACTTACTTATTGGTAGATTTCGTGCCTATTTAACTTCACAAGTTAGCCTGAACAACGATACCTATCAAATTATCTTTGAGAATACTCAAATCATATTCACTACCTGAAACATCTATAACCTTGTCCAGTAATTTGCTTTACCGTCACGTTAGTTTGCATTGTATGCTTTATTATACATTGATTATGGGTTAAACCTTCAATATTGTTAAAAGTATGACTTTTTCTCTCTTGAAAGATATTTCAAATGGCAGGCGTTTTGGTAATTATCATTAGCCCTTTAGCTGGCTTCGGGCTTCACAGAGAGGAGGAGGAACATCAAGGTGACAAAAAGTCGAGAGATGTGACAGAATAATGATTCACAGATGTAAAAGAGACAGACTACCACGAAGGCAGAGAAAATGAAAGATGAGTACTGTTGAAGTGGTCGAATTTGGCATACAGTGGGGTCATGGTAGTTTGAAATCAGAAGTCAACTGACGGTTTATAGACCCTTTTTGCCGTACGGGTATACGTTGCCCAGGGTGTACCACATGGAGGTAAGTCTATCGCACACCCCTCTCTCGAAAGGTTATTTTCATTAGAATTTATTACCTTTTCAACAGCTTGGTTTCGTAAATGCGAACTTATTTTGGCCGAGTTTTTTTGTAAACCGTGTGTATCAGTTTGTTTATTTATCTCATCTTGTTTCCTCGCTCCACCCTGTCTTTTTTTCTTAATAAAATATGTAGTTATATTTCGTAATTTTACAGAAACATTATGAATGAAATAAAGGGCTTTTCGCACTGTTAATTATATTCATACTTCACTATTTCAATATCGCTCTCTCTAGAGTCGTCCCGCAACCATGTGCATTCAAATGATCCTTTTGGCAGAATCAACCAGGCTTCAGCAAATCTTGGCCACTTACGGTATAAATACTCAAACTCCGGTGGAAATTGAACCCTTGAAGGTATATATCCAAGGCTCTCTTTTCGGTTGCTGCCTCTCCTTCTCGTTGACTTCTATTTTATGGGAATTTTTTTGCTTAGTTATGGCCTCCAGTAACATTGGTTAAGGCTTCCACATTCATGGGCTTCAATAAGCGTCTGGGTTTGAGAGGACGTCCACCCAGGCCACTCGGCTGTCTCGGAGCAAGCAAGTATTACCGGCAAGTTAAATCCCCCTCAAAATCTGCTTGAGTAGGCTAGGAATTTCATCTCATCTTTCTACTTCTCTTTCTTTTAAACAGTGTGTCCGGTTCAACCGTGCTGGTTTTTCCTCACTTATTTGAAGACCAAAGCTTCTACTTTAGCTATGACATCAAAGCCCTCATCGAAGAAGTCAAGGTAATTAATTCTTATAATTTACCCTCACTACTTATGTTATTTCAGTAGGGCTAATGATTAATAACATAAAGCCTGCCATTTCAGTAGATTAAAGATAGCTTGAATTGTGATGCGTTCTTCCTTAACTCACAAGCACCTTTGCTTTTAGAACGACCTTATCTTCCTATCCAAGTGGTGGCGTATGAAGGGACGGCCTAATTACTGCTTTTTGGTCAAGGAGGATATGATAATGTTAGTGCTTCTTTCTCCTCTCTTTCATTTTAACTCAAAGTGAATTTCCATTTAATATTAATTAATTGGTTTCTTCTTTACTACCTCTTAAGTGCAATCCGACAGGTAAGATAGTGTGCTGAAAACACCGCCTCTTAACGCTTCCTCAAGGCACACTAATGTTTTTACTTAGAAGTGCCAATTTAATCAGGCTTATATTTTGCATGTGTTTTAGTGGCCACGGTCGTGAGCAGTTGATCCGTTTCCTCGTCAGCTTACAAAGTAATTATGTCGATGGTGTTAGAATTGTTCTTGGAAGAGCCCAGGTATAATTGAAGTTATTCTATGTCGCGAAATCTATTTCAAACTCGCGCTGATATCTTGGCCTTTCCCTCGCTAGAACTTCGTGGCAACAGGATGTATTGATCACTTGGACTTCTTCCCTGATTGGGCTGCCAATCTGGAGGAATTTGAGGGATTGAAACAACTCTATGGTGGAAGATCTTTCCGATCACTAACTGATTTGTCACGAGTGTTGGATGATGAGGATTTGGATTCCCTTCTGCCTGCTTCTCTTGTTATCGCAATCGCTGATGCTACAAATCGTCGAGTGAGTAACTTCATTTCTACTTATTATATTTAAGTAGCCCTGTTTTAATCTCAGTTTAGATTTCTTATTGAGGTGTTCTATCTTCTATTCTTAAATTAACCATTGCAATAAGCTTTAGAGGGGCTGGTGCTAATTTTCTACCAATTTACTAATAATCGTTTGGCGAAAAATTATTGATTGTACTTCGTGTTCTTAGCACTTTGGGCAAATGTCGGACAGCGATATTGTGAACTTCGTGTGCCATGACGGCGATAGGCGTGAACTCTGGCCCTACAAACTGCCGGATCCACCGAAAGGAAACGAGGATATGTTCACAACTCCCATTGCATTGCGAGCTATCGATTATGCCCTTGAAGCGGCTGCCCTGCACGAATTGATGCATCGTCACGGTCTAGACTATATCCTACAATCTAGTGGAGTTCCTTCAAATGTGCGGGACTACTTTGGCAATTTGAGCAGGCGTGCCGGAATCAATCAAATTTGGTGAGTAGCCTTTTGGCGCGTAATTGGGTCTCATTGGGAGGTAGAAAAGTTGGAGTCCCATTTCTGCTATGTCAACTTCATATGGGCTACTTGATACCATTTATAGCGCACTGTCAACTACATAAATATCCCATTAGACCCCACATAGGTTACGTCTGGTCTAGTCTGGCTTCCCGGTGGAAAAATGTCTAAGTTTTTATTTGGATAATTTCAACTTTTAAATAGCCTATTAGCGTAAATGGACTAAGGGTAAAAGTCTAGGGATCAAAGAAATGAAGTTTAAGCCTTGGAGCATTTGCGTGTTACAAAGCGAATACTTCCTCTCATGATGAAGTTGGTTTTTTTTCACACGACCATTGGCATCCCCGAGCTTCTTATACATCTCCTTAATTCTCTGTTTTATTATTATTATTATTATTATTACTACGGGGTGTGTGATAGACTTACCTCCACGCGGTGCACCCTGGGCAACGTATACTCATACGGCAAAAAAGTCTATTAACCGGCAGTTGATATCTGAATTCCAACTTCCACGACCCCCCTGGTTGTCATATTCGACCCCTTCCACAGTACTCACCTTACCTTTTTCTCTACCTTTGTGTCTGTCTGCCTCTTTTGCATCTGTGAATCGCTCTTCTGTTCCCCACCCCTCGAATTTCTGCTACTTTGATGAACCTTCCCTCTGTGAAGCCCGAAGTCAGCTAAATGGCTAATGGTAGCTATCAAAACGCCTGCCATTT